TTTTTCTGTATTTTTCCTCTTGTAAAATACAGAAATCAGAACTCTTGTATTTTCCTGTATTTTTCCTTTTGTAAAAAATACAAAAATCAGAATTTTTGTATTTTTCTTCTAAAATAAATCAGAATATTATTTAAAAAATACAAGTTTTGTATTTTAGTTTATGGCAATGGAATTTAAAAATGAATACACAATTAAAGCAGATCAGAATATTGATGATTTTGAAGAGGAAATAGAAATAGAACCTTTAGCCAAAAAGAAGCCTATAAATGAGAAAGAAAGCAAAGACGGGAGGAATGGAGCTGAGGCGAGTTTTTAGCCATAACTTTGTTCAAACTCATCCAATCTTGTTGTTCTTGGTCTCATTCGATTCAGCTCGATGAGCTCTTTCAAATGAGCTATCACTTGGGCTAGAAAAATTTTTTTGGGAAAATTTTATTTTTTGGGTATTGTAGGGAGGGCTCAAAAAATTTAAAAAAATTTTGAAAAATTTTCCTAGGCTAAAAAATTGTTTCTAGGAAGCAGAAGGAGACGGAGACAGTAACAGTTCTTCAACTTCAGTAGTGGTCTGGAAAAGCTACAAACTTGTTAGAGCCTCCAATGCTAATTTACTCGGTCATTTAATGAAAGGACACTTGCCTTTGCTCAAAAAAAAATTAATTTTGAACTGAAAAAAATTTCTTTAGGAAAAAAATAATTGAAATATACTCTAAATTTTATTACTCTTATTTTTGTTGAAAAAGAGCAAAACACACATTTTTTATAAAATAAAATTTATTTCCGTTAGAGCAACTTAGATATTTGGGGTTGGGGACGTTTTGGCGCGAGAACAAAAAAGTGGCACTCAGACGAGACCTAAATTCATAAAAATTTTCTCAAATTTTTTTAACATCCTTGACTACCTCCTCCAGAAATTTCAGAATTTTTCATCAAAAATTTCTGAAGTTATAGTCGATAGACCTCGAAAAATTAGGCATTTTTCAGAAAATCAACATTTTTGGACACAATTTCCGAAATTCTTGATCAAAAATTCTGAAATTTTTGGAGAACATAGATAAATGCATGAGAGTTATTATTGCAAAATTTTATATTTTTTGATAAGCAACTCACTGTTTTATAAGCTCGCGCCCCAATGGCCCCGCGCCCTAATGGCCTAGTCCCGTATTTTCCGGAAAAATTAATATAAGAGAATATGTATTTCTGTTCTGTAAATATATCCGGAAAATACTTTCCGGAAAATACTTTCCGGAAAATACTTTCCGGAAACAATTTATAATTTATTTAAAAGTTTCCGGAAAAGTCCCAAGGAATTTCCGGAATATTATTTTATGCTGTATTCCGGAAATATTATTTTATGCTGTACTATTCCGGAAAAAACAATATTACCTATAAATAATATTTCCGGAAATTAAAATATGTATTTCTATTCCGGAAAACATTTAATTCTTCTTAAATTAATTCTGATTTTATATTTTCCGGAAACATCTATTTTTAAATGACATTTCCGGAAAATATAATATTAAAAGTAATATGTATGTATTTTTATTCCGGAAGTATTTGTTTTGAAAATTATTCCGGAAAATACATTATTTTGCTGAAACACATACCTATTTATTGTCTTTTCCGGAAAATACATATAATATTATCAGAAATTCCCTATTCCTATTCCGGAAATATATTTTCAACTGGTATTTCTGTTATAATTTTATAATTAAGTTTGCCCTCACTGTGCTGAGCTTTAGACTGACCTGCTCTCCTCCTTTCCAATTTAACTTTTCCCCAAATTTAATTTAACCTCAAAATTTTTTTTATTATTTTTCATGATCCTTTGTTTAAAAAATATTTTTTTTTTATTAAATTTTCTAAGAAAAAAGAGAATATTTTTTAATTTATGTGTCAGCTATAGCGAAGCAATAAAAATTTGTTTTTGCCCCAAAAACAAATTTTCCATTGAAAAAAAAAATAATTTTTTTTTAAACAAACTAGCTTAAAAATAAATTAAAATAAAGTTTAAAAATTAATTGTTTTGATAATTAATCAAAAAAAAATTTAAAAAATTTTTTTTTGATTATTTAAACAATCAAAAAATGGCTGAAATTATTGACAGTTTTAATTGTTTATTTTTAAAATTTATTTATTTCCTTCTTTAATTTTTTTTCTTCTCCTTTTTTTAGTTAAAGAGAGGGAGAGAATTATTATTGTATTAGTAAGCTTTTTAGTAGTTTGGGGAAGAAAAATTTTTATGGACTTCCTGGTTAACACTAGAGACCGGACAGAGGTCTCGATCAAAAATCTCGTTTATCGAGATCGGGATTTTTTCGATATCTCGAGCTCGATCCTCGTTGGACCCTTCCAGGCCGATTTCTAGTTAACACAACAACTTTTTAATTCATACAGGTCTCTTATAATGAAGTATATCCTAAATAGAGGGTATAGTTTGGAGAGCTCATCTACCCAGTGCCAGAGGCGGTCGGAACATTCAGAGGTGTCGGAAATCGGAACTGGCTCAAAAGTCGGAACTCGGAAATTGGAACTAAAAATTTTTTTTCGGAACTTGGAACTAAAATTTTTTTAGGAAATGGAATTCTGACCCACCTCTGCTTATAATGAGCTGTAGCCTAAATAGAAGGTATAGCTTGGAGAGCTCATCTACCCAGCGTTAGAGGTGGGTCGGAACAGTCAGAGGTGTCGGAACTGGCTCAAAAGTCGGAACTTGGAAATCAAAATTTTTTTCGGAAATCGGAATTCCGACCCACCTCTGCTTATAATGAAGTATATCCTAAATAGAGGGTATAGTTTGGAGAGCTCATCTACCCAGTCGCCCAACCTCAATTTTTATGCAGTCGAGCCTAATTCGTAAGTACACCTTTGTGGGTGGAATGACCCTATAATGAGGTCCTTAAATAAGAGGTACCTTATAACGAGGTCCTTAAATGAGAGGTACCTTATAACGAGGTCCTTAAATGAGAGGTACCTTATAACGAGGTCCTTAAATGAGAGGTACCTTATAACGAGGTCCTTAAATGAGAGGTACCTTATAATGAGGTCCTTTAATGAGAGGTACCTTATATTGAGGTCCTTAAATGAGAGGTACCCTATAATGAGGTCCTTAAATAAGAGGTATGTAGAAATAGGAGGTCTGTGAGCCTGTCCACATCAGTGCATATAAGAGAATGTTTAAGTTTTGTGTTCGATGTTTATTTTAAATTTAATAAAATATAATGACGTGGAAACCAAAAATTTTCGTACGCATGACACAGCTAAATATTTTCTTTCTTTGTTTGTTTTATGTCAATTAAATATTTTAGAAAATAAAAATTTTATAAAACAAGCTATTTTTAAGCAATCCAGGACATTTTATAATTTTATTTTTATTTAAAATATTTTTGTACAGAAAGAAATCTCATAGTCTCTCACTAACATCGACTGTTAAGCCATCCAAATTTGATAGACCATAACTTTTTTTCTCTTAATCCAATTCAAACAATTCTTATATCATTCGAAAGCTCTTGATTAGCGGTATCTTTTTCCCAATTGGATGGATCAAGTCTGATCACTCACTAAAAAGTTATAACCCAATAAATGTGAAAAACACCAAATAATTGCAATTATCGAGCCATAACTTTTTAATGAGTAATCAGACCTGATCCGAGTAATTGGAAAAAAGATAGCACCAATCAAGGGCTTTCGAATGATATAAGAACTATTCGGATCGGATGAAGCATAAAAAAGTTATGGTCGATCAAACTTGGTTGGTCTCTCAAGTCTCCCACTACCTATCCAACTTATTAGGCTATAACTTTTTAGTGAGTGATCAGACCTGATCGATCCAGTTGGAAAAAAGATAGCGCCAATGAAAGGCTTTCGAATGGGGTATGACTCAACTGGGTCGGATCAAGCAGAGAAAAGTTAAAGTCAATCAAAGATGGTTGGTCGACGCTCAGTCAGTCACCCTTATAGCCCCTCACACTTACCCAGCCAAATAATTCTTTTTTAAATTTTTTTCACAGATTTATTTCAAAAATAAATACTAATGGCTTTAAATTGTCAAATTTCTTTATTTATTATTCTTTTCATTCTTTTAAATATTTTACAATTAATTAATCCACATTCTTGTCCTTCCCAAAATGTCTGCAGTGGTAGTGATCCGGCTACTTTACAACTTGAAAGTTTTAGCAGACAAAAGAAGGTGATAAACCAAATAAATAAATTTTTAAAATTCAGTCGGACTTCTTTATAAGACACACTCAAGAATAGATGAACCCCTAGTTAAGCTCTTAATAATTAGGTAAGCCATCGTTGGGCGGGGGAGCTGTCTGTGGCACTTTATTTTTAAAATATGTTTTTTAGATCTTAGGCAGCCACTGGATGGGAGTGGCTGCCTGGATGGAAGTAGCCTAAACAATACTCTCTATTTAAGATAATTTTGTTATAAGGACAAATCTTTCCCCTACTCATTTTTTGTCCTTTAATTAAAAAATATACGGTGTAGTGGCAGTCTCGAGGTCATATTTTGTGCCATAACTCTTTTAATTTTTAACCAATTAAATAATTTTTATACCATTCGAAAACTCTAAATGTGGTGATTATTTTAACTAACAGGATTGATTTGATCAGATCATTCTACCAAAAGTTATAGCTGGATAAGTGTGCGCAATCGTGATTTTTGGTACTTATTCGACCATAACTTTGGGTAGACTGCTCTGATCAAGTCAATCTTGCTAGATAAAATAATCCTCACATTTAGAGCTTTCGAATGGTATAAAAATTTTTTAAATCGGTTAAGAATTAAAAAAGTTATGACCAAAATAGACCTTGAGATTGAAGCTTCCCTTACCAATCTCTCCGGGACACGCCCAAAACGGCGCGAGGCCATAACGGCGCAAAGCCATAACTCGCTTCAATATTTCCTAATCTTGCCAAATTTAGTATTAAACGATTCTTCTCATCGAGCTAAAGAGATTGGCACCAAAATTGATAAGAGTCTGACATTTTCCAGTAAGTTATGGCTTTGCGCCGTTATGGCCTCGCGCCGTTTTGGGCTGTACCCTATTTTTCCTTATACTCTCTTTTAAAGACAATCGACACAATGACAACCTCCCACGGTTCCCTAATAGAAACAAGAACTGCCGTATTAACAGCCGGCAAACGAGGACCAATGCTTCTTCAAGACTCTGTCTTCCTAGACGAATTAATGAAATTTGACCGAGAAAGGATACCCGAAAGGGTTGTACATGCAAAAGGGGCAGCGGCTTTTGGCTTTTTTGTTGTAACCAACGATATTACAAAGTATACAAAAGCTTCGATCTTTGCAAAGATTGGGAAGAGAACCCCCTGTTTTTTTAGATTTTCGACTGTTGGTGGGTTTTGGATTTTTTTAAAGATAAATAAGGGGGAAAGAGTCCGAACAGAGGTCAAGGGTCAAGGTGTCCGAAGGTCAAGTCAAGGTCCACACAAGGGGTCCCGAACAGAGTCCGCCTAAACCTTAGATAAGGCATATGCCGTTTGGGACTCTAAGCCACTGAGACCCTAAGCGTTTCAGACACTGATGCTAAACAATACGGGGCTGTAATTCAGAGGGGAGGGGGGGGGGCTTTAATACAGAAAATATGGTCAAAATGGAAGCTTACTAGAAAATGTCTTATTGACACTTGCGGACTAAATTTGCAGACAAAATTTTGCGGATTAGATTTGCGGACAAAATTTGCAGACAAAACTAAAGCCATTTGAAATTACTACGGTGATTGACTGTATACAATACTTAAGCCCGAGGATGACTGGCTTAATTAGAGAAGTAAAAGACCTCTGGCAGGCATCGACCTAGTGGCAGTTGTTGCTAGGCAGCTTTCTGCTCGCCACGTATATGCTCTGCTCGCTACGTATAGTTATGGCCCAAAATATGGCCACTTCCCCTACCTATCTAACCACTAATGGTGTCTGATTGACTGAGCTACGGAGGGGCGTTGGTTTTGCCTACTCTTTTAGTGAATTTTGAACCCTAGTCTAGCAAGCCTTCTATCTTCCTTCTTCCTTACATATATTACTTAATCCTGTGGGTGTCTAAAATGATTCTTAAAAATTTTTTTTTAATTACTCAAGCTGGAGAGAAGGGAAGTTCCGACTTGCTGCGTGATCCACGAGGATTTGCCATGAAATATTATACAGACGAAGGCAATTGGGACTTGGTCGGCAACAATGCCCCAATATTCTTCATTCGAGACCCAATCCTCTTCCCCAGTTTTATCCACAGCCAAAAGAGAAATCCGAGGACAAATCTGCACGACCCAAATATGGTTTGGGATTTTGTGTCGTTGAGGCCTGAGGCTATAAACATGATATTGAGGATATTTTCTGATTTGGGAACGCCTGATGGGTTTAGAAAGATGCATGGGTTTGGAACTAATACGTTCAAATTGGTGAGATTTTAATTAATCTGTGTTGGGACAAAATACCGTCCGACAAGCCAGCTTTGATCGATCATAACCTTTTTTGCCTTAATCCTATACGAATAAATCTTATATCATTCGAAAGCACTTGATTAGCGCTATCTTTTTCCCAATTGGATGGATCAGGTCTGATCACTCACTAAAAAGTTATAGCCCAGCAAGTATGAAAAACATCAAATAATTGCACTTATCGAGTTATAACTTTTTAGTAAATTGTCAGACTTGATCCATCCAATTGGAAAAAAGATAGCGTTAATCAAGGGCTTTCGAATGATATATGACTCATTCGGATTGGATCAGTGATAAAAAAGTTATGTTAGATCATAGCCCTCCATCTCAACATACTAAAACAATTTTTCCCACAGGTCAACGCAAACGGAACAGCCGTTTATTGCAAATTTAAATTAGAATCGGTTCAAGGTGTTCACAATTTAACAGCAGAAACGGCTGCAAAGTTAGCACAGGAAGACCCAGATTATTCTACGAGAGATTTATTTAATGCCATTGAAAGAGGAGACTTCCCTAAATGGATTTTTAAAATACAAGTAAATTATAAAGAGAAAAATCAGAATTTTTACAATCAGAATTCTGATTTTAGTAGAATTTTGAAATTCTGATCAAAAATCAGAATTTTGGTCAGTAAAAATCAGAATTCTGGTCACCAATAAATCAAAATTAGGGTCTAAAAAATCAGAATTCTGGTATTCTGGTCACCAAAAGTCAGAATTCTGGTCAGTAGAAAATCAGAATTCTGGTATCAAAAAATCAGAATTCCAAAAAATCAGAATTCTGGTCAGTAAAATCAGAATTCTGGTCAGTAAAAATCAGAATTCTGGTCAGTAAAAATCAGAATTCTGGTCAGTAAAAATCAGAATTCTGGTCACTAAAAATCAGAATTCTGGTTAGTAAAAAACATGAATTCTGGTTTCATATCAGAATTCTGTTTTACTAGCCACCACTCATAACAGGTAATGACATTCGAACAAGCAGCAAAATATCGCTACAACCCCTTTGATGCAACAAAAACTTGGTCTGAAGCAGAATTCCCTTTAATAACTGTTGGACAAGTAACACTAAATAAAAACCCTACCAACTTTTTTGCTCAAGTGGAACAGGCTGCTTTTGACCCTGCAAGGATGGTTAGGGGAATTGAAGCTTCTCCTGACAAATTACTTCAGGGTAGGGTTTATTTTTTTGAGAGAGGGGGAATTTAGGAGAGAATATGCCCCTTAAAGGACATTGTATTCTCTCAAGTGAAAGACGTCTTGTCCTTTTCATTGTGAGAGGGGAAGAAAAGGGAGGCTCTTGTGCTCCTAAAAGCCGATCTAGAACCCTCAGTCCTCTTCTATATTTTGAATAGCCTTTCTTCCAGAGCTCTTGTGCTCCTAAAAGCCGATCTAGAACCCTCAGTCCTCTTCTATATTTTGAATAGCCTTTCTTCCAGAGCTCTTGTGCTCCTAAAAGCCGATCTAGAACCCTCAGTCCTCTTCTATATTTTGAATAGCCTTTCTTCCAGAGCTCTTGTGCTCCTAAAAGCCGATCTAGAACCCTCAGTCCTCTTCTATATTTTAAATAGCCTTTCTTCCAGAGCTCTTGTGCTCCTAAAAGCCGATCTAGAACCCTCAGTCCTCTTCTATATTTTGAATAGCCTTTCTTCCAGAGCTCTTGTGCTCCTAAAAGCCGATCTAGAACCCTCAGTCCTCTTCTATATTTTAAATAGCCTTTCTTCCAGAGCTCTTGTGCTCCTAAAAGCCGATCTAGAACCCTCAGTCCTCTTCTATATTTTGAATAGCCTTTCTTCCAGAGCTCTTGTGCTCCTAAAAGCCGATCTAGAACCCTCAGTCCTCTTCTATATTTTGAATAGCCTTTCTTCCAGAGCTCTTGTGCTCCTAAAAGCCGATCTAGAACCCTCAGTCCTCTTCTATATTTTGAATAGCCTTTCTTCCAGAGCTCTTGTGCTCCTAAAAGCCGATCTAGAACCCTCAGTCCTCTTCTATATTTTAAATAGCCTTTCTTCCAGAGCTCTTGTGCTCCTAAAAGCCGATCTAGAACCCTCAGTCCTCTTCTATATTTTAAATAGCCTTTCTTCCAGAGCTCTTGTGCTCCTAAAAGCCGATCTAGAACCCTCAGTCCTCTTCTATATTTTGAATAGCCTTTCTTCCAGAGCTCTTGTGCTCCTAAAAGCCGATCTAGAACCCTCAGTCCTCTTCTATATTTTGAATAGCCTTTCTTCCAGAGCTCTTGTGCTCCTAAAAGCCGATCTAGAACCCTCAGTCCTCTTCTATATTTTGAATAGCCTTTCTTCCAGAGCTCTTGTGCTCCTAAAAGCCGATCTAGAACCCTCAGTCCTCTTCTATATTTTGAATAGCCAACCAACTTTGATTGATCGCCCATAACTTTTTTATGCCTGATCCAATCCGAATGAGTCATATATCATTCGAAAGCTCTTGATTAGCGCTATTTTTTTCTAATTGGAAGGACCGAGTCTGACCACACACTAAAAAGTTATAACACGATAAGTGCGATTATTTGGTATTTTTCGCATTTAACGGACCATAACTTTTTAATGAGTGATTAGACTTGATCCATCCAACTAGAAAAAAGATAGCGCCAATCAAGTGCTTTCGAATGGTATAAGACTTACTCTGATCGGACCATGATTTAAAAAAGTTATGGTCGATCAAATTTGGTTGATTGACGCTCTCAGTTTGCTGGCGCCCATTTGACTGCGTTTAGTTGACCCTTCCGACTGAATCTCCCCCTTCTACTTTCTTCAACTTCTACAGCTCAAACAAACTTTAAAAAATTTTCTTTTAAAGGCAGATTATTCTCCTACATGGACACTCAACATCACCGTTTAGGCCCTAACCACATGCTCTTGCCAATAAACAGACCCCTTAAACCAGCAGAAAATACACAGAGAGACGGCCTAAACCAATTTGGAGAGAATGGGGGAGATTCTCCCAATTACTACCCAAACTCTTTTAGAGGGCCTGAACCTACTGGGAAGGCTGCTCAAGAAAGCCAGTTTGTTTTAGAGAAGGAATTAGTTGCGAGGTTTGAAAGTGGCGATGATGATAATTATTCACAACCTGCGGATATGTGGAAAAATGTAAAAAGAATAAGTCTTATGGGGGTTTGACCACGTTATAAGACCTTTAGGGACCCCCTTTTAAGGAAAGCCCCAATACCTTAGATTGGGGGTTGTTTGGACAGCTCCTCCACCAAGTAGACAAATTTAAATAGACGCATCTTAAATTGAGGCGTGTCTTAAATAGAGATAGGTATCTTATAATGAGAGTATCTTAAATAGAGAGGTATAGCTTAGGCGATAATAGACTCTCTTTATAACGACACCCATTTCCCAGATCACTTTTTCTCTTACGTCGTCAAAATTCTTCCAAAAGGGTGTAGTTATAGAGAGAGTCCACTATAAAGGATACCCCTCTATAGGCTAAGAAAGCATATTTTATGATATGTATCCTGAATAGAGGTTTCAATTATGCAGCTCCCTCACTAAGTAGTTAAAAGAACGTATCTTAAATAGAGACGGCCTAAACCAATTTGGTGTCTCTGGTATAAGAGGTAGCTTATAGTGAGGTGTGTCTTAGATGTAGGCGTATCTGAGGGTGTATCTATATTGGGGGTACCTTATAAAGAGGTTGTACCCAAGTAGAGGTTCTCGCTTAGATAGCTCGGCTGTACTTTAGCCGGTGGCCCACTCAGAAACGGGTCAAAATATATACCATTCGATTCGTCTCGGCGAGCTGAGTCGAATGGTGCCATTCTTTTTTTGCGGAAATTCCTACGAGCCGAGATATAGGTACTTAAAAATCGAAAAACCATAGGGGGGACCAAGCACTTTTTTGGGGTGAAAAATTCGAATATGCAAATAATAGCTCATTCGAAAGAGCTCGTCGAGCTGAGTCGATTGACACCAAAATCAACGAAATCCGACTTGATTTGACAAAGTTATGCCCATTTGTTTTAGCTCCTTACCTATGGCATCTGTGGAATTTTTGCTGCTACGGAGGCCCAAAATACGTCCAGAGCAAGGGAGATAGGAATAGGGTTATGTTACAAGCCCAGACCCAGCGCCCGTAGACTCCCCGCGAGGCGCGTGCCGCAAAACTCCGCGCGAAGCGCGGAGTTTTGCACAAGCGCCTCGCCGAAGCCCCATAGGTTTATGTTGCTAGTTTTTTGTGTTGTAACTTTGTCTAAACTTGTTTAATCCCGGTGATTTTGGTGTCATTCGACTCAGCTTGTCGAGCTCTTTCAAATGAGTTATAATATGGTCAAAAAATTTTTAATTCCAAAAATCACCCTTTTGGATTAACAGTTTTCAGAAGTCTATATCTCGGTCCAATCAAGTCGGATTTCGTTGATTTTGGTGTCAATCGACTCAGCTCGACGAGCTCTTTCGAATGAGCTATTATTTGCATATTCGAATTTTTCACCCCAAAAAAGTGCTTGGTCCCCCCTATGGTTTTTCGATTTTTAAGTACCTATATCTCGGCTCGTAGGAATTTCCGCAAAAAAAGAATGGTACCATTCGACTCAGCTCTCCGAGACGAATCGAATGGTATATATTTTGACCCGTTTCTGAGTGGGCCACCGGCTAAAGTATATCCGATAGCTCTCCTACACAACCTCCTATTTAAGAGTCGCCTCATTATAATAGACGTATCTTAAATAGAGAGTATCTAATATTGGGTGTATCTTAAAAAGAGGTGTCATATCCATTATACGAAATATTATCTATTAAATTCGATTTTTCAGCAATTAGACCACGGAGCACGTAAACGCTTAACAGAAAACATAGCAGCTTCATTGTGCCAAGCATTGCCCAGAATCCAAAAAAGAATGCTTAACGAATTCGGAAAAGTTTCAAAAGATTTGCAAAGAATGATCGAACAAGAAATAAAAAAGAGACAAAATTATTAAAAATTAGGTCATCCCTCCAATAAAATTTTTTCAGCTTGTTCCCCTTTTTAAATAAACTTTTTTCTATTCATCCCTTTTAGCGAGAGAGAGGGGGAAAATAAAACGCCTGTGTTTCAGCTTAATGAGTGAGACGAAAATAAATACATTGTTTTTCCGGAAAATATTAAAATAGCAGAATGTGTATTTTACTAAATCTCTTTTGTGTGTTTTTCCGGAAATTTTTATTTTATGGGTTTCCGGAAATATTATTTTACACGATTTCCGGAAAAAACTGAAAAGGAATATCAGAATAGTGTGTATTTTCGCTTCCTTTGTATTTTTTGTGTTTTCCGGAAAATTATTAAAATATCAATTGTGTATTTTACTAACTCTCTTTTGTGTTTTTCCGGAAATTTGTATTTTAGGGTTTCTGAAAATATTAAAAAGAAAAATCAGAATAGTATGTATTTTCCTTCTTTTTGTATTTCTTTTAAGTTTTCCGGAAAATACATAAAATCAGAACACGTTTGTATTTTTGTATTTCCCTATTTTGTATTTTTGTAAATATAATTTTCCGGAAACTATTCTGATTTTACCTGCCTTTGTATTTCTTTCCGGAAATATTCGTTTGCGTGTTTTTCCGGAAATATGTATTTTATTTGACCAAAAACATTAAAAAGAAAAATCAGAATAGTATGTATTTTCCCTTCCTTTGTATTTCGTTCAAGTTTTCCGGAATGTGTATTTTTGTTTTCCGGAAATATTTTTTGTATTTTTTCTAAGATGTGTAGTTTTCCGGAAACATGAAAAAGAAGAATCAGAACATGTTTGTATTTTTCTTCTTTTGTGTTTCTTTCCGGAAAATACATAAAATCAGAATATGTATGTATTTTCCCTCCGGAAAGCAAAATCAGAATATGTATTTTCTCTCCCTTTTTTTGTATTTTCCGGAAAAATTCATTTGTGTGTTTTTCCGGAAACTATTCTTTTGTATTTTTTCCGTGATAGTTTTCCGGAAACTATTCTGATTTTAAATGTTTTTGTATTTCTTTCCGGAAAATAAATCAGAATATGTATGTATTTTTGTATTTCTTCTGTAAATATTTAAACATTTCCGGAAACTATTAAAAATCAAAATATACACAATTTTTCCCCTTTTGTATTTTTCCGGTTTAATAAAGTGTTTTTCTTTTTCTAGTGGCTAATATTAACGTTATTATAACAAGCATTATGCCCTTGAGTGGAGAGAATGTTTTTTAATAAATTGCGCCACTACAAATAAATTTATCTATTTAATTAAAAATTAATTTCTATTAAATTCCCAAATATTTAAATAAAATTTATGGTTTCAACAATCAAAATTTGGATTAAATTTATTTTATTTGTGCATACGTCTTTTAATGTTATTGCGCGTGAAAGGGTAATTATTATTTTTATTTTGGAGCTCTTATAAAATACCCATAAAATTCAATGTGTTTTTGATTAATTAATTATTTGTTTGGAAGACAAAAATTACCGTAAATGCTGTAAAGGCAAGCTCTATTAGAAGCCCATATCTAATATAAGCCCACCCAAAGAGACCCATTGAAAAATAGACGCCTAGAAATTAGAGGATTTACGTTATATACATAATCAGAATTTGTATTTTATTTATGTGTTTTAGTTAGTTAATTTTTCCGGAAACTTTTTTTAAATGTTTGTATTTTGTTTGTATTTCTTGTTGTTATTCCGGATTGGGTTTCCGGAAAATGCATATATTTTTTCCGGAAAACACATATACATAATAAAAGTCTTCCGGAAATAAAATACAAGCAAAAGGCTTCCGGAAATATTAAAAGGAAGATCAGAATACTATGTATTTTGGCTTGTTTTAACTAACCGAAAAAATTAAAAAACCGGAAACAAATACAGAACTAACGGCAAAATACATTTTATATTTCCGTTCTTTTGTATTTTCTTCCGGAATAAATAAATAAAATTAATTTAATTTTTCTCTCTTTCAGTTTTCACCCCAAAAATCACCTTTAACATCACCTAAAAATTCCACGAATTTTTCTCCACATAATAATTCGTCAATTTCAAGAATGGGAAAAATTAATCGTCGAAAGACTTCAATGCCTGTATTTAATTACAAAAATTCCAATTTTATAAGTAGAGAATCTAGCAATTTAACAACACAAGATGAGAGGGGAAGTGAAGGGTTTTTAGAGAATGAACAACAACAACACCAACATGTAATGACTGCGTTGCCTGATTTAAGTGAGTAAACAATACCCAATATTATTCTCCTTAACCGGAAAATACAAATTGAAAAAATACATATTCTGATTTTTAATTTTAACTGTTTCCGGAAAATTAAAAAATATTTCCGGAAAAATACAGAATAAGTAGATAGAATTCTGATTTCTTTCCGGAACAATTTAAATCGTTCCGGAAAAAATACAAATTTTCCCCTTTAACCGGAAAATCCAATTGGAAAAATACTTATTCTGATTTTTAATTTTAATAATTTCCGGAAAATTATTTAAAATTTACCGGAAAAATACAAAATAATCAAATAGAATTCTGATTTCTTTCCGGAACAATTTAAATTGTTCCGGAAAAAATACAAATATTCTTCTTAACCGGAAAATACAAATGGAAAAATACTTATTCTTATTTTTAATTGTAATTAATTCCGGAAAATTATTTTAAAAATTTCCGGAAAATACGGAATAAGCAAATAGAATTCTGATATTTTTTCCGGAACACTTTAAATTGTTCCGGAAAAATACAAATATTAAAGCAAAAATACATTTTCTGATTATTAATTATAAATATTTCCGGAAACAATTTAAATTTTCTTTTCCGGAAAAATAATTCCGGAAAGAAATACAAGCATACCTATACTAAAATACAAATACAAATACTATTCTAATTTTTATTTTTAACAATTTCCGGAAAAACACATAAGAATTCTGATTTATTTTTTCCGGAAACACAAGAAGAGACAGATGAGTGATTCTGGGGGAATTCTGATTTATGTATTTCCGGAAAATACAGAATAAGCAAATGGAATTCTGAATTTTCTTTTCCGGAAAATACAAACAGTTCCGGAAAAACACAAATATTAAAGCAAAAACACATTTTATGTGTTTTTAATTATATTTCCGGAAACAGTTTGTATTCTCTTTTCCGGAAAAAATAGTTCCGGAAAGAAATACAGATAAAATACAAATA